TGAGGGAGATAAGTGAGTAAATTAAGACACGTAAAATAAGGCCAGGTGCGGTGGTTCATGCCTGTAATCCCAGCACTTTGGGAGGCCAACGTGGGCAGATCACTTGAGGTCAGGGGTTCGAGACCAGCTTGGCCAGCATGGTGAAATCCCCGTCTCAACTAAAAATACAAAAAACCCAGCAGGGCATGGTGGCTTATGCCTGTAGTCCCAGCTACCTGGGAGGCTGAGGCAGGAGAATCGCTTGAACCCAGGAGGTGGAGGTTGCAGTGAGCCAAGATCACTCCACTGCACTCCAGCCTGGGCAACAGAGGGAGACCCTGTCTTAAAAAGATAAAAAAGGCTGGGTGCGGTGGCTCACACCTGTAATCCCAGCACTTTGGGAGGCTGAGGTGGGTGGATCACCTGAAGTTAGGAGTTTGAGACCAGCCTGGCCAACATGGTGAAACCCTGTCCCTACTAAAACTACAAAAATTAGCTGAGTGTTGTGGCAGGTGCCTATAATCCTAGCTACTCAGGAGGCTGAGGTAGGAGAATTGCTTGAACCCAGGAGGTAGAGGTTGCAGTGAGCCAAGACCACGCCATTGCACTTCAGCCTGGGTGACAGTCAGACTCTGTCTCAATTAAAAAAAAAAAAAAAAAAAGTCTCTTGAGACATTTTTCTTTCGAGAAAAATAGATGGCTAAAATCAATGTTCCTCAGCTGTTCATTAAAGAATTGGTGTTGCTCAAGAGCCTTAAAAAATAATACAAATAAAAATGATGTTTATGAAAAATGTTTAAGGTCTTGTAAGAATTATTGTTTGACACAGGGTCTGGCTGTCTTGCCCAGGCTGGAATACAGTGGCATGATTTTGGCTCACTGCAACCTCCACCTCCTGGGCTCAAGCCATCCTCCCACCTCAACATCCAGAGTAGTTGGGACCACAGGCATGCACCACCATGCCCGGCTAATTTTTTATTCTGTTTTGATTTTATCTTTATTTTAAATAGAGATGAGGCCTGTGTTGCCCAGACTGGTCTTGAACTCCTAAGCTCAAGTGATCCTCCTGTTTTGGCCTCCCAAAGTGCTAGCATTACAGGCATGAGCTACTGCACCTGCTGCCTAATTTTTTTTATTTTTATTTTTTTATATAGACAAGGCCTGACTATGTTGCCAAAGCTGGTATTGAACTCCTGGGCTCAAGCATCCTCTCACCTCTGCTTCCCAAATTGTTGGGATTACAGGCATTAGCCACCGCGTTGGCCCTAACTTTAAATTTTCCTTTGTTATTAACTACCTAGGTATGTTTTCTCTTTAGCTATTTGTACAAAATTTTGAGTTGGTGGATTCAGAATTCAGATTTTGATTTTGAATATATAACAATAGGCTAGATTAGTTCAAAAAACTTTTTTTTTTTTGAGATGGAGTTTCACTTTTGTCGCCCAGGCTAGAGTTCAATGGCTTGATCTCGGCTCACCGCAACCTCTGCCTCCTGGGTCCAAACAATTCTCCCGCCTCAGCCTTGTGAATAGCTGGGATTACAGGCATGTGCCACCGTGCCCAGTTAATTTTGTATTTTTAGTAGAGATGGGTTTTCTCTATGTTGGTCAGGCTGGTCTCGAACTCCCAACCTCAGGTGATCTGCCTGCCTTGGCCTCCCAAAGTGCTGGGATTACAGGCGTGAGCCACCATGCCCAGCCTCAAAAGACATTTTTAAGTTTTATTTTTGAGACAGGGTCTCACTCTGTTTCCTAGGCTGGAGTGCAGCAGCACGATCTCAGCTCACTGCAACCTCTGCCTCCCAGGTTCAAGCGATTCTTGTGCCTCAGCCTCCTGAGTAGCTGGGACTACAGGTGCACACTGTCATGCCCAGCTAATTTTTAAATTTTTTTGTAGAGACAGGGTTCACCATGTTGGCTAGGCTGGTCTCCAACTCCTGACCTCAAGTGATTCACCTGCCTCAGCCTCCCAAAGAGCTGGGATTACAGGTGTGAGCCACTGTACCTGGCCTATTAAAAAAAAAAAAAAATTATTGGCCGGGCACGGTGGCTCACGCCTGTAATCCCAGCACATTGGAAGGCCGAGACAGGCAAATCACCTGAGGTCAGGAGTTGGAGACCAGCCTGACCAACATGGAGAAACCCCGTCTCTACTAAGCATACAAAAATTAGCTGGGCGTGGTGGTGCATGCCTGTAATCCCAGCTACCTGGGAGGCTGAGGCAGGAGAATCGCTTGAACTCGGGAGGCAGAGGTTGCGGTGAGCCAAGATCATGCCATTGCACTCCAGCCTGGGTGAAAAGAGAGAAATTTCGTCTCAAAAAAAAAAAAAAAAAATTTCTTTTTCTTTCCTCTGCTAAAACATCCAGGGGGACAAAAAAATATTATTTTTCTGAACATTACCAATTAGGAAATAAATGTCAATCTGTCACCACTGGGCTTCCTTTTTAAGTTTTTTTTCCTTTCAATTCATTAGGAACTCCTGACTCAGCTCTATGGTGAACTCTATTCTATCTGAACTAATGGAAGGAACCTACAGCACAGATGAACACTAATATTTGGCTTCCAGTATATCAGAGGACTTATATTTGAATATGTGTCTAGTTTTCCTAAGGCAAAGAATGACTTCAGCACATTACTTTTTATGCCTCTAAAAAAGTTGTAGGCCGGGCATGGTGGCTCACGCCTATAATCCCAGCACTTTGGGAGGTCAAGGCAGGGGGATCATGAAGTCAAGAGATCGAGACCATCCTGGCCAGCATGATGAAACCCCGTCTCTACTAAAAATACAAAAATTAGCTGGGCATGGTGGCACGCGCCGGTAGTCCCAGCTACTCTGGAGGCTGAGGCAGGAGAATCGCTTGAATCTGGGAGGTGGAAGTTGCAGTGAGCCAAGATCGCACCACTGCACTCCAGCCTGGCAACAGAGCGAGACTCTGTCTAAAACCTTATACTTGTTTGAGTGAGAGTGGGAAAGATTATACCCCAGATCTTCACATTTCCTACTTTTTCTCATCATTCTGGGGTCTGCTTGAATGTCACTTCCTCAGAGGGGCCTTTCCTGACCACCTGTTCCTTCATATCACTTACTCACTTACTTGATTATTATCTGTTTTTCCCACACAGCTAGAAGGTAAGCTCCATCAAGACAGAAACTTTTGTCTTTTTTGTCCACTGCTGTATCCCCAGCACCTTTATAGTACCTGGTATCTGTAAGGAATTCAACAAACATTTGTCAAGTCATAAATGAGATGAGCGAATCACAGGTTTTGGAATCAGACAGTCCCGAGTTCAAATTACAACTCCACTCTTTTTGTCCAATTGTTGGCAAGTTACTTAACCTCTCTCTGCCACAGCTTCCTCATCTCTGGTAGGTGGGGAAATATCCATTACAGAGGGTGGTCATGATGACTAATGAAGGATCAATGTACAATGCCAGACATAGAGTAGACCCTCCAAATTGTTACTTTTCTTTCCATCCACCTCCTCTTTATTGAGATGATAGTTATGAGACTATATTAATATTATTCTTTCTTATCCAGGACATCCACTCCAACCAGAGGGAAATTTATTATGAAGCTAATGAAGTTTAAACTTCAGGGCTGCTCACTTGCACAGGCTCCAAACTGGGATTTGTAGAGGGAAAGCCAGTTGTCTAGAAGCTCTTTTTTTTTTTTCTTGAGACATAGAGTCTCATTTTGTTGCCCAGGCTGGAGTGCAGTGATGTGATCTCAGCTCACTGCAACCTCCGCCTCCCGGGTTCAAGTGATTCTCCTGCCTCAGCCTCCTGAGTAACTGGGATTACAGGCGCATGCCACCACGCCCAACTGATTTTTGTATTTTTAGTAGAGACGCGGTTTCACCATGTTGGTCAGGCTGGTCTCGAACTCCTGACCTCGTGATCCGACCAGTTTGGCTTCCCAAAGTGCTGGGATTACAGGCATGAGCCACCACGCCTCACCATCTGGAAGCATTTTTATGTAAACATTTCTAATAAATAGCCTAAAGAGATCTCAGGGATAAAAAAGGTACTAATCTCCAAGTCTCCAGTATTTGTTGTGATGTATTTTCTCTCTATAGTAATCTTTTGATTGCTAATTCTGTATTTATAATTTGTATTTTATGTCTCAAAGAGGTCCCCCAAATTGTATATGTTTCAAGCCCTCCAAGTCTGAATCTACCCTTTACCCAGTCCATTTATAGATTCCATTAATGGAGCATAGATGTATTCAGAAAGTCTGCATTAACACTCTCAGAGGAGCTGCTTCAAGGTGATTGACTACTCTGCAGTGGGACTGGTAATTTAAAGGTTCTTAAAACCACGCACTTGCAAACCCCACTAGGAGGCTTGCCATAATTTTTTACCTGTTTTCATCCAAAGGTTTGCCTTTAGGTGAAACTGCATTGTTAAAAAGACCGTGGGTACGCCTTCGATAAAGCATCAACTTGATTAAGAAATCCTCCTACTGAATTCCCATTTAAAGCAATACTTGGACTAAGGACACTGTTTTTGGTTGCAGTCTTTGGTCTACCAATCAGAAACCTAAAAGTACTTAAGCTGGGAAGTTACCATCCATAATCGCATTCTTCCTTAAAGACTCACATAAGGTATTATGGAAAGTTAGATCCATAACAACTATTAGGCTGTTAGTGGGTGCAAAGCATTCTTTCCCACTGGGGAGAAAATTCTTTGTTTAAAAAGGAACGACTGAAGCCGACTGACACTAGTAGTATTCCTAGTACGGAGTACTAACAAGAGTAGTAGTTTCTACTCTGGATCTGAAGCCTTGTTTCGCTGTGGCGCCCGTCCCATCCGCACCTTCCTCTTAAGAGACCTGCTAGCTTCCCCAAGGATGGAAACGTCCCCCTGGGTCCTGACCTCTCTACCGCGGAACCCTGCGTCTGAATTTCCCCCACGTCGCACTCCAGCCTGGTCTCCAGCGCATCTGTGCCTTCGCGGTCCACGTCCCCACCGCGCTCTAGAGGGAGCCCGCGAGCCGCGCGCCCGCCGCGGATTCATTTTCTGTGAAGCCGCCGAGACCAGGAACCTAGTTCCGACACCTGCAGGGTCCGGCACGCTAGTCAGTGGGGGTGCCTCAGAAAACATGGCCCCGTGTGACCTCACTGTTTTCATGAACGACCCCTTGCTCCCTCACAGCCAGACACGTCGCCACCCTCACAAGTGCGGCCGGTGGGACCTAGCTGGGACCCTCCCCGCCTGGGAAAGTCTGGGTGCTGGCTCCTAAAGCGCGCCGGCCAGACGCCCGTCCCACCAGCCCACCAGCTCAGGCCTCGGCAGGCCGCCGTCCCTAACGTCCTCGCTAGCGTCTTCGCCCCATCCGGCTCCAGGCAAAACCCGGAGCGGCTGCCTCTCTGCAGCTCCCGGGAGACCGCGCGGCGCGGCGGCTAGAGCATGCGCAGTGCGCAGGGCCGGCTCGAAGCGCAAGCAGGAAGCGTTCGCGGTGATCCCGGCGACTGCGCTGGCTAATGCGGTACCGGCTAGCGTGGCTTCGGCACCCCGCGCTGCCCAGCACCTTCCGCTCAGTCCTCGGCGCCCGCCTGCCGCCCCCGGAGCGCCTGTGTGGGTAAGTGGAATGGAGCGCCCGGGCCCTCGGGCCCCGTGGGTCACGGTGGTTTGGCGCTCGGGTTGCAAAGTGGTGATTCAGCACTTAAAGCCGCCGCCGCTGCCCCTCACGCCGCCCGTCCCGCCGGCCTGGGGCCCGGACTGCCACGCTGAGGCCGCCCCAGGGCCCGGAAGAGCGGCTGGCCAGGCGGGAGCCAGAGGCCTGGTCCAGAGTCGGGGACGTCCCTCGGGCTGGTGAGGGACCGGGGCCGTTACCCGGGGCCACGGGGCGTGTGCCAGTAGTGTGGGGGCGCGGGGGCGGACAGAGTCACCCGGCCTGCACCCGGGAGCCGCTCCGCCTTACTCTGCCGGAGTCCGCCTGTGAGGGGGCCGGGAACCTGAGGCGGACTCGAGCCGTGGGGTAAAGGAATCCGGCGACTTTTGGGGGACCGCTTCTTACCTTGCCCTCAGCCCTGCCCTTTCCTCCGGGCACTGAGTTTCCAGGACCGTGTGGAATGCCCGCGCTGGGAAAAAAAAGTTTGTCAGCCTCCCGCCTTAGTGAGAAGACGAGTGTGGGGTTTCCTATCAGGGGACATTTAGGAGCCGAAAGATACCTCGGGATCCTCTACAGCAGCTCCCTTGTTTTGCTCGGAGACAACCGGGGCTCCGAGAGATGGCTTGATTTCCTGACAATTGCCGAGATTGTGGCAAAATCAGGATTAGGACACAGGTTTTTTGCCATCCAGTGGCGTGCTCTCCACTTCACCGTTGATCTGCGTACGCTAGGCTTTTTCAGGCTTGTAGTGAACGTTGAATATTTTTTACTACGAATGGAAGAGGATAGGCAGTATTATCTTGCCCTCCCTAGAAACATTATTTGAACCCCTCCTGGTTTTAATCAGTAATAGCCAGCACCTACTAAGTGCAGGGCACTGTGATGGACCCTCTATGTAAAGTATGTGTCTGCCTTCCAAGGAACTTTGATTTGATTGGAGCGGTTTGGGATGCCACGGGAATTGAGATAGCTAAAAGGGTGTGTTGATGAGGGTCAGAAGATGAGTAGTATGGGTAGTGTGTGGAGGTAGAGGTAGAAAAGTGGGGGGTAGGCTGGCTTTGCAAGAAATGGCGGAAAGGTTGGAGTGAGGGCTGGCGTGGGCGTAATCCAGCCTAGATATGCGGGCAGTTTGTGTTGGGGGAACGGTGAGCCGGTTAGTCTGGTTGAAGCTTTAGAGAATTTCCCTGGGGGAATTAGGAGGACACAAGTCCTGTATTATAACGGTAGGGTAATGCTGGCCTGGGTCTTGAATTCTAGTTGGGATTTTCCCAGTGCGTAGTAGGTAGGGAGCCCTTAAGTTTTTGAGCTGGGAAGTTATCTGATGGAACTGGGAGTTTAGAAAAGTAGTTTGGTGGCTGTGTGCAGGATGTCAGGGAGTGGAGAGAGTCCTGAGGCAGAGAAACCTGTTGGGACTTAGTCTTTACTGCCTGTGTTAGGACGGTAGCAGTGGGGCACTAAGAAAAGCTAATACAAATGAATACTCTATGGAACTTGTTCTCCTCTGTTTTCCATTACATCACAAAATCTCCTATAATGTGCAGAAGACCCCTGAGCTTAGAGAATCAGGTGGTAAGCACAGGCAGGATGCCTCCTTTTGTCCTCTTCTGGATCAGTCCGCTTTTGTTCTAAATTCATTACTGATAGGCTAGGCTTAGCTTCATACTGTCTCCAGCATATAGCATTTGTGATTTTTAAAGAAAGCACCAATTTTAAGTTTTATATAACTAAGTGGTGTGTATGTTCTAGTGAAAATTACATTTTCTCTGTAGTTATTAAGTCCAGTCGACCATCCAGAGTTTCAAGATATGTTTTTCTCAAAGATGGAAATTTGGGAGATTCAAAGCATAATGAATGAGATGAGCCAGCTGGAAAGCTCTAGCCTAAAATGAGTGAGTGAGGCTTTTAAGGAAAATACAGGTCCACCCAAAGGGTTTGGGGCACAGTTTTAGGAAGGAAAGCCCTAACGTCTGAAGCTACCACATATTCACACCTTAAAGAATGCAGTCAGCCCTACTGTACATCGTAGGAAGAATGTCTTAACCGAGATAGCCACACAGCTATTTGCTGGAAGAGCAGGGATTTAACCCTTGTCTATCTGGCGTCGGAGCCTGAGCTCTTAGCTGTTAGGTACTTGCAAACACAAGTACTGCCTCTGCTGGTATTTGGGCATTCATTTTCTGGTCTAACCTCTTGAGACAGAGATGGTCTTAAAGCATTTATTTAAAATCAATCCATTTACAAAGTAACCTCCTTGTTCTGTGTTCAGCCATATTTTATAACTTGGGACTGTGTGGAATTATCTGAACTGTTGGGGCACCTGGAGATAATAGCCCATTTCCCTGGCAACAACTTGAGCCACCTGGGCATCAGTCATCTCACTTTGCAGGCAGCCCTACTTTGCATTTCCCTGTTCTGTAGGCTTAGGAAACAGTGGTATGTCAATTGGGACTATCAACATTCAAGCTTTTAAACTACTTTTAATCAGAAAAATGCCTTTTAGTAGTGTAAAAGGACAGGGTATCGCTGAGTTTCTTTAACCTAATCCACACATCCTGCCTGTCTTGAAAGTTAGGGTTGAGGCCAGGTGGGGTGGCTCATGCCTGTAATCCCAGAACTTTGGGAGGCCGAGGTGGGCGGATCACTTGAGGTCAGGAGTTCAAGACCAGCCTGGGCAACATCGTGAAACCCCATCTCTACTAAAAATACAAAAAAATTAGCTGGGCGTGGTGGTGGGCGCTTGTAATCTCAGCTACTCCTGAGGCTGGGGCAGGAGAAGAATTGCTTGAACCCGGGAGGCTGAGGCAGGAGAATCACTTGAACCCAGGGAGGCGGAGGTTGCTGTGAGCTGAGATCGTGTCACTGCACTCCAGCGTGGGTTACTGAGCGAGACTCTGTCTTAAAAAAAAAAAAAAAAAATTAGATTGGGGACAGTCTTCCCAGGATAGGGGAGGAAAAGTTCAGTATGTTTTCTTTTAAGTTCGATACAGGGTTTCACCCTGTTGCTCAGGCTGGAGTGCAGTGGTGTGATCTCAGCTCACTGCAATCTTTACCTCTTGGGCTCAAGCGATCCTCCCACTTTAACCTCCTGAGTAGCTGGGACTGCAGGCTCACGTCCCCATCCCACAACTAATTTTTGTATTTTTGGTAGAGTTGGGGTTTCGTGGTGTTGCCCAGGGTGGTCTCAAACTCCTGGGCTGAAGCAATCCCCCCGCCTCCCAAAGTGCTGGGGTTACAGGCATGAGCCACTGTGCCAGGCCCAGTATGTGTTTCATAAACATTGGTTTCCTTTCTGTTTTTTTGTTGGTATTTTATATCTCCTAAACATGTACCTAGAGGATCAGGCTACCTTTTAGCCAGGATGACAAGGCTAGAGCACTTTCCTTCCACAGGGGTAGATCCTCTATAGATATGTTAGGTTTTGGAGAGTTCTCAGTTGGCTGGTCTTCAGTCTGTCCTCATTGTTCTGTTAGTTTAGACATTATTTGAATATCTACTCTGTAGTGATCACATTCTGTGTCCAGTACTATGTAAATGCAAAGATAGCCATAAATCTTGTCCTCAAGGAGCTTTCAGTAATAAACAGTAAACTCCTTTACCTCTGACCCTTTACTGGACACCTCCACTCTTTTTTTTTTTTTTTAGACGGAGTCTTGCTCTGTGGCCCAGGCTGGAGTGCAGTGGCTGGATCTCAGCTCACTGCAAGCTCCGCCTCCCGGGTTTACGCCATTCTCCTGCCTCAGCCTCCCGAGTAGCTGGGACTACAGGTGCCCGCCATCTCGCCCGGCTAGTTTTTTGTATTTTTTTAGTAGAGACGGGGTTTCACCGGGTTAGCCAGGATGGTCTCGATCTCCTGACCTCGTGATCCACTCGTCTCGGCCTCCCAAAGTGCTGGGGTTACAGGCTTGAGCCACCGCACCCGGCCGACACCTCCACTCTTATGTTTTGTTTCTTTCAATTAATTTTGAAAAACAACTTAGTATTTTTTTTATCACAATACAGATTACTTTTTTAAAAAGTAGGACTCACAAAATTATTTTATTCTTCTTAAAGAACTGTTTTGTTTCTTTTTGCCTATTAAAGGTGTAACTTTTTTTTTTTTTTTTTTTTGAGACTGAGTCTCATTCTGTCGCTCAGGCTGGAGTGTGACAGGATCTTGACTCACTGCAACTTCCACCTCCCAGGTTCAAGTGATTCTCCTGCCTCAGCCTCCAGAGTAGCTGAGATTACAGGTGAGCGCCACCACACACAACTAATTTTTGTATTTCTAGTAGAGACGGGATTTCGCCATGATGGCCAGGCTGGTCTCGAACTCCTGACCTCAGGTGATCCACCCGCCTTGGCCTTCCAAAGTGCTGGGATTACAGGCATGAGCCACTGTGCTCGGCATAACTTTTTTTTTATTTTTTATTTTTATTGTTTTATTTTATTTTATTTTTTGAGACAGAGTGTCCGCTCTGTTGCCCAGGCTGGAGTGCAGTGGCACAATCTCGGCTCACTGCAAGCTCCGCCTCCCAGGTGCACGCCATTCTCCTGCCTCAGCCTCCTGAGTAGCTGGGACTACAGGTGCCCGCCACCACACCCGGCTAATTTTTTTTGTGTGTTTTTAGTAGAAACGGGGTTTCACGGTGTTAGCCAGGATGGTTTCTATCTCCTGACCTTGTGATCCACCTGCATCGGCCTCCCAAAGTGCTGGGATTACAGGCATGAGCCACCGCGCCCGGCAACGTAACTTTTTAAAGTAGGACTCACAAGCTGCTTTCTGAAGGGAAGGCATCACACTCTGCCTGACACATAGTGGGTACTCAGTACATATTTATTGCATAACTTAATTGATTAATGGTCTTTTTTCAGAACGATTTTTCTCTGCAGAGTCCTTAGTTTTGTTATGTTGATATTATCATTTTTTTCAGTTTAGCTTGAAAATCTTTGAATCTTTTTCCCTCATTGCCTATTCCCAAGACCCAATC